CTGCCACTGTCACTACTACTACTACCACCACTACTTCTACTACTTCTACTACTAGGACTACGGGGACTACTAGTACTACCACTACTACTACCACTACCGCTACCACTACTACTACTACTACTACCGCTACCGCTACCACTACCACTACCGCTCCTCTTCTTCCTCCTTCTCCTTTTGCTGCTGCTGCTACTAAGTACGACGAGGGCGCCGGCGAGGATTACGAGGACGGTGACGGACGTCGACAATGACGACGACGACGACGACGACGACGACGACGACGACGACAACTGCCACGACAACGAGGACGCTGATGAGGAAGCTCATGACGATGATGTACTGCAATCACCGCTTCTCCCCTGCACAAAAATCGCACGGCTAACGGTATCATAGAACCCTTTACAGTCAAAGTGATCCGTTTAGAACCCTTGTAAAGGAAGTGTTAAAGGAACCTATTTCTTGACTATTACTTAAAGCCTTTATCTTACCTGTTTTTCTGCAGGCGGGCGAGGCCACGGAGCCAGAGACTCGCCCGAGCTGTTTGTTGGGAGGGCTGGGGGGCGAGGATGGGCGATTTTGGGGGGTTTGGGGGGCCTGAGGTTCAGGGATTTGACAGGGTTTTACAAGGGGATTTTTCACCGGGATTTTGGGATTAGGGCTTAAGTTTAGGATTGGTTGTTAGTTTACGCGTTGGGGTTGTAGCAGTCTAGCACGGAGGTGATAGCAGAGCCTTATTCCTTGCTTGCTGTGCTGATGGGGACTGTGAACCTTTGTGGAGGCATAGCGCCCGGTAAGGCCCCGGTCCTCAATCCCAGAACCACGAAACCACCCTAAATCCCTTGCCTCCCGAAGCATACCATGTATAGAGGCAGGGTTCCGTGCCATGTAAGGCTCGCGAATTTTTGTCATCACGTGAACCCTGCCTTCTCCTCGATGGTACTCGTGACTCATAACATGAAGCTCTGAGCCCCGAATCTTTCCAAAGTCGTCATGTATCGTGTTCCCGCAGTGCCCGAGTCTAGCTGGTGTTACCACTAGCTGACGCAATTAGAACCTGTTCCTTTGTAGGGTCCTCGTATCATCCCCAGTCCAGAAAGTATGGGGCCCCAGAAAAACGGTGGGGTCTGGTAGCTCGTGCAAAATTGTAGGGTCCATATTCATTTGATGTGAGCTCTCTGGCAAAGACCCGGAAACCACTATACCCCAAAGCCAAAGCCTAAGCTCTAAACCCTAAACCCTGCCCTAAAGCCGAACCCGAAACCCAAAGTCCTAAACCCAAAACACCCTGAACCCTAAACCCTAAACCCTAGACCCTAGACCCCAAACCCTAAACCCTAAACCCGAAACCCTGAACCCCAAACCTTAGACCCTAAAACCCTAAACCCTAAACCCTAAACCCTAAACCCTGAACCCTAAACCCTAAACCCTAAACCCTGAACCCCAAACCCAAAAAACCGCAGCCGACGCCTGAGGAGACTTTGGTGCCCCTGCAGCTTGTAAGAGACACGGGTCAGGCCCGACCCTTGAGGGTTTAGGGTTTAGG